TCAAACATCACCAACACGTTGAACACACATAAAGTCAGTGTGGCACACATTCAAATCGGGATACACGGTCACACACACATACACAGCATAAAGAAACACGTGGAACAGACAGAAAAACACACACAGAGTCATAAGCTGTGTCACAACCACATACTACATGCTAATGCTGAGCAGGTTTTTGGCACGTAGTGTGTTCACACTATGTAAGAAAATAAAGTCTATTATGTGTAATAAAAAACACTTGATTTTTGAGTGTGTTGTTGATGTGCACTATCGTCCCACAAAGAAAATGGAAGTGTGACTCACAGTGACACCAAAGTTGAATAAATTGCAGGAGGTGGCGAGACAGCTCCAGGAACATATTAATAATGGAAATGAGTATTAAATCACTGGAAACACAGTTTACCTTCTCTTTGTGAAGTTTAATAAGCAGACACATTTGAATTCTATTGATAGATGTCCTTTGATGTATTTTAAACATGTTCATTGTTTGTATGCTAACTGCAAAAATCTCCAGTTGTGCTAGGACATTTACTGTATAGTACATGCTGTTTACACTTACATGTAGGATGTAGTATGGAACTCAATACACAATACACATCACAACCTAAGTTTCTGGGGGGACACTAAAAACCGATGGACAACATGATGCAAGGAATTAGCAAATGTGTATAGCTAACATCTCCAATAATATCAGAACATTGTTGCTTACTTTCCAGCATCACTGACTGGTGCTCAGCTTGAGCCAATTCATCTTTAGTTCCTCCCCAGAAACTTCTATTGTGTTGTAGCTGACTCACTTTGTGTTGTGTACAACTTGCAGTCTACTCTCTTGTGTTTTTCAGTGCGCAGTGTGTTTCTTAATACCCTGTATGTGCCATCAAATTGATGAAAGTGTCTCTATGGTTTGCTTGGGGACATTTAAGACATTTCAATTCAATTGTGTTTTGTTATACCGTGTGGAGCTACATTGGCCACTGCAGATTTCCTTCTGGATTGATTTACAGCACAAAGAAAGATTGCTTTAAGGCACACAAGAAGTAGAGGGCGTTGTTCTTCTAGTAGAGATAAAACTTTTTCAGAACAGCAGATGGTGGAAGGGGAGGAAGGTCAATGGAACAGCGAAAAAAAGGAACACGTTCATCCTCTTCAGGAAAGGAAATAAGGACACATCACAGGAAGTTAGAGAGGAAGGACAAGAAGAAACATCCTCATTAGAAGAAGCAACAAGGGACATTGTTTGGTCTTAATCTTGACAGAAACTAAAAAACGGAGATGACTCCATGAGTTGCCTCATCGTCTTCGACTATGCCAGTGACAAGCTAATGTGTAAAAATCCTAAATGTGGGCGTGTGAGTGTGATTTGGTGAGCCAGGCTCCCATTCCGGTGACACTGTGTCCTTCTTAGTCCACAGCTGTGCACATATCACACCTTCTCTCAACACACACACATAACCTTGTCGCTATAGCTAATAGGGTCCATCATAATAAAGTGATAGCAATAATAATGCATGCACATACGCACTGAAGGCATGAAAACACAAGGTTTATATCACTTTGACCCTGCACCCTGCCAAAGCCCATTTACCATGATGGTCTTGTAAACAAGCCCCTTCCCTTCCTTCTTCTCTAAACATAAGCCTGTCCAGCCCAGCCCCGCCTCCCACTGTTCCCCTCCAGCACGCACACACACACACAGACACACATACAAACACAAACACACGACCCATCTGCTTCTGCTCTCCAGACCTTGCATCTGGCCTGCCGTGAACCATATCTCTGTTATACACAAACACTCATTTAATCACACACACACACACGAACACCGCATTAAAAAAAAACGAGTCAGTGTGATTCTGTTCATGCAGCATCCAAACAGAGAGGGCATGGCCGGAGATGTGAACTCCCTTCAGCTCAGCAGGAAACACAGACCAGTTTGAAACAGCTAAAAAACAAAAGCAAATCTGCTTCTGAGAGAAAAAGAAAGGCCGATAGAGCCGGAATTAAATTGCTGGTGGAATGAAAAGGATGTTTTGAAAAAAATGCCTCCTGTGGGAAGCTGGCACATCAACTGTTGCTCAGCAGTGGATGTGAAAAAAAAAAAGCCTAGCTACCACCATTGAAAATACATTATCATCAGTGAATTCAGATCCATATGCTCTCACTGCACCGTAGCATGACCAGCATGAACACACACTGAGTGAACACTGTGTGTTCCTCTATGCAAAGCTTTGGCGTTCCACATTCAAAAGCCATCCCGTTATAACAGGAGTTTACCGTGCATTCAGCTGCTCACCATGTGGGACACAGTATCTGTTGCGCTGATGTGATGCACGTAACACAGGGTTGACAATTAAACACACACACACACATAAACAGCAGACAGAAACATCTGGTGCAGTGACGATGTAACGGCTATGATGCAATGTTGGCCTTTCGGTGTCAAAACACACAGTTTAGTGTGTAGTACAGCTAAAGTGATTGGCCGATTAATCAGAAAATGAACCAGCAACTATTTTGATAATTGACTCATGGTTTGAGTCGCTTTTCAAACAAAAAAAAAAGCCTTTTCCAGCTTCTCCGCTTTTCTTCGTTTTATATGTTGGTAAATTTAACATCTTTGGGTTGAAGGCTGAGTCAGAAAGAACAAAACATTCAAAGACATAATTGGCATTTTCTTTACTTTCTGTCACGTCATGGACAAAACCGTGAACCAATCAATAGAGACAATAACTGGCAGCAGAGTAATGAAAGTATTTGTTAGTTGCAGCTCTGCAGTGAAGTGGACAGCAGCGGGGGACACATGCACAACACAACACCCAGAGGGAACATGAACACATATAAATACACACACACGCTTTAAATAACAGATAAAAGTTTAAAAGAAATCCCACATCTGTCCGACTTGTGACTCAAACACCACAACAGAATACTAAAAATACAAGAGTGAAACTGTTTAGTGTATGTGAACCTGCACTGCCTGAACCCGACTGTAAAAGCATGCCTGCTTGCACATATGCATGATGCATGTGGTCCTTTTGTCTGCATGACTCTGTGCTGTTTAACTGCGTGTGTGAGGAGCATGAGGAGTGTGTGAGGGAAGATGGGAAGGAGGCTGGCCGTCAGGATGTGGAGTCTATTGTCTGTCCGACAATGAAGAGATCGAGTCGGCAGGAGTCCTGTGGCTCTCTCAATGGAGGCATTAACATCTGGGGCCAGAGGGCTGCAGTGAGTGTGTGTAAGTGTGTGCGTGTGTGTGTGTGTCTTTGTTGCAACTGCCCTGGATAATACTGGATTATCAAGGCTTTTTTTTTTCAGGGAATAATGCAGATGTCAGGAGGAAAGCTTCTACAACCAAACTAGTTTTCAAACATATCTCTTTGTAACCTGCTTCAGTCTTATATTAATCTACTGTGTGTTTATCTCAAGGATTATGTCTATTCTTAAAGGTCTGTGAACTTGATTTCACAAATTAAAAGGTGAGTAAAGTGAATTTTGGTGGGATTATCCCCGCTACATCCCTCTGCACTGGAAATGTCAACTTGCAGCTCAACGCTGTATCCTACCAGTATATTACTTTCATTAATCTTTGCAAATGACACGGTGACATACGCAAACACACACACAGAAACACAAGCAGCCACAGCAAACAACTATATGAAAAATAAATCCTATGACAAACTTTATGAGAAAATAATAAACAAATATATTAAAGCTAAAAGTGGATCCTCAAACAGGAGAAGGCTCATATAAATAAAGTATCTATCTAAAGTCATCCTCGCTGCCTCCTCCATCCCACATGGCAATAACATGACTCCACTAACTTCTCCAAAAATCATTGCTGTCTTTATTTTAAAGGGCTGTGCTCCCCCCGCACTGTCTGTTAGTTAACTGGCAGTGGCACCATCCAGCTTGTAAAAAAGGCAGACCCCCCCCCATTCTTTCCACACCTTTTTACCCAAATCCCTGCTCTGTGTCCAGTGTGGACGCCTGCCCCCCCTCAGTAATTACAATAATCACTCAACTGAAGCTAATACTTACTTCATTAAGGGGGGGAAATCAGAAAGGGGAAAAAGCACTCCAAAGTAATATCACAGTGGATTATTGTCACCATAAGAGCTTAATTTTTGAGTGTCAGCTGAGCAAGCAGGAAACGGAGGCAGCAATTCAAAGGACTCATTGCTTTTATGGCACTGGAAGTGGATGAGGGCTGTCATATGTGACACCTATAACTACTGTGTGAAAATGAACCATTAAAATCTTACTATATGTTTCAAGTGGCATGCTGTAAAAGCTCTAAAATAACAATAATATACAGCATGAGTGCAGAATACATCGCCACATCTCCACAGACTATAAAACTGCCTGCTCAGGCATCCAGCAGAAGTCACAAAGTAAGTTAGGGATATTGCTGGGATATTATATTGATGCCACAGAAGATGCAAAACACTATCAGGCAAAGAAAAATGCCTAAAAGTTCCTTTCAGAGCTCCACAGACACTCCACACTTACACATATTACAGGCAGATACAATATGAGCAGATGTGTCCTTTTTTTAAGTGGTGCACAGAACAATCCTGGCATGTTTGAGCACACACAGAGGGGTATATGATAAGTTAGAAATTGGGCATGGTTTTAAATGCTGTGCTGCGATTGCAGAGCAGCACACTGTAGATACAGACTACAGTGAAGCCCCGGAGTTGATTCCCATCCAACTCCTCCTGACCGCAGTGCGCTGTGTTTACACTGCGCGAAATGGGAGATAAAGTTGCATCGCATTGAGCCCCAAAAGGACAACCTAGAACACCCCGATCACCCGTTTAGACAACGCATTGTGTCTGCAGGCGTCCTATTTAAGAAAAAGGAGGCTTCATGGCAACAGTTGGAGACCCGGAGACTCCGGATCAGGATGTTTTCTCCCTCTGCTTCCTTCGTCTACTTTTAATCCAGCCGCCTCGCAGCACCGCGACCATTATGACAAATAAGGGCTTCAAACTTACCTTATTGTGATAACGGCGGTGGTGCTGAGGGTTTCAGTCACTGCGCTTTCCTCTCCGTCTCTCTCTGACGACAGATCCAGTATCCGTTTCCCCCTCTCGCTTCTTTCTCCGTTATCTCGGATTTGTTTTTGAATTTGGAGTTATAAATTATTCCACATCCTCTTCAGATGAATTGACACGAATTCGCCCGCAGGTTCTCTCTCCTCTTTTCTTATTTCCTCTATTTAAAAAAAAAACATGTTTGGACTATAAGGCAAATCAAGCCATATGATCCTGTCATTCAGTTTCTACACAGAGGAACTGGCTCTCCGCGCAACTCCCTCCCAAGGCTTTGTAACACGAACCCAGAGGAGAAGGAGGAGGAGGAAATGGGGAAAAAAAGGGAAAGAAAGAAAAGAGAGCGTGAATTTAATCCGCTATCTGGGACGAGCTGGGTGGATATGGATCTATCCGCCTCTCTGCGCAGAAGTTTGAGCAGTCTGTACCAAACAGACACACCGGAGTGGTCGTGGCGCTGCGTCTCTGTGCCAATCTCCACTGGAAAGGATGTGTGTGCGTTTGTGTGTGTGTGTGTGTGTGGTGCGTGGCGCTGCAGCGTGTGTGCGCCCCCAGCCTACTTCTGCAGTACGCATCACAGCAGGGACCTGGGAGGGTTTCAAAAAAGGCACACAAACAGGTCTCCGCCCATTAGCCTCTCCGAACAAGGGCCCCGACACAGGCGAGGGGCCCCAGAAGCCATTACACTGCTTGATTAAGACAGTTTCATTGTGAGGAAAGTGAGGGCCTGTTTTTGGCAAAGTGCTTCCCAACCTGGGGTCTGACCTGAGACACTCCAGGGTCTCTTTTAAACGGGGGTCGGGGAGCAGGGTGGCCTGGTTGTTAAAGAGACTATTGTTTGAGTGTTGGGTCTGGTTGTTCACCACTTCCTGCCGGTGGAAGAGCCAGTGAGCAATTCACCTGCTCTGTATCTGAGCCTGACTTTGGCAGAGAAAATGTTCCACAAGAGATCAATAGAGCATTAATAGAGTGAAATTATTATTGTCTTCATTGCCACTGCACAGAGCAGTGGAAAAATAATCTGTTGTTCTTGAGTCTTTGATCTTTTTTCAGATGAAGGCTTTAACTGAATGTAACAATTATAGTTTCTGGTTTTCTATTCTTTTCATTCTGTCTTTGTCTAATTTATAAATAGATGGTTTGTGGCCTAAAGCATCTTTTCCATACGAGTTTATGTTCCATGATATACAGCTTTTTTTCCTTCAAAGCATAAATTGCCACTTACCGCGATTAATATAAATGTTCATCCCCAAAAGAAGATACCAGAATATGAATCATATTTTCTTAAAGCCCCCATCCACTCAGAAATCTCTTTATCTTATTGTTCCTACATTGGATGTTTGAGCAGAATAATGCATGTTCAGAGTTTGACACTAGGAACGTTTCTCTGTGCTTACCTTAAATCTCAGTTTACATACAGCAGCATTTTGTAGCAGCATCACAGCTAGCATGGAAGCCAATCGCGGTCCACCATGCAACTGGGGCAACTGGAAGCCTTCAGTGCTCACTGAGAATGGACTTTACAGAGAAGTAGGAGATATCTTGTGTCCAGTAGTTAAACTGAGAAATGAGCCAGATTCTGGATTTTTCCACAGTGAGAAGGAATCAATGTAATTTTAAGAATTTCTAACGAAATAATTGAACTTAGGTAAGCCACATCACACACAAATTATTAAACAAATCATAACAGTCTCAAGTCTTTAAAAATGTCTGGAGGGAATATTTAACAATATTAGGTCATTCGTGTTAGAGTGAGGGGGTGTATTTTTACATGACTATGTTTTGCAAGTCCTGGCCATTAATGAGGACAACTGGAAGAGATGGGGGCTTTTTTGACCTCAACTATGAGGTTAATGTCCAGTCTACTATTAACCAAAGTCACTCTGTATGCAGTCACACTGGGGAGCAAGTCATGGACATCGCTCATGGTCTACATATTGTTTAGTACTCTTAAAGGTCCAGTGTGTAACATTTAGGAGGTTCTATTGGCAGACATGGAATATAATATTCATAGCTATGTTTTCATTCATTAATTTCAGAAATATGCTGACATCCAAAAACACCGAATCCATTTCCCATAATGTCTTTCATGAGGCTTCCTTAACGTCTTCCAAACTCTAACAAAGATAACCCTGATGATGTCATCACTCCGCGTGACTAGTAATCCGAACTTTGTGTAAAATGAGTGGACTTCCCCTTTGATAACAAACTGTATAACGTCATTAACTGTGGGAACAGTGGAAACATAGAGCTCGATGTAAAACACAACAACACCACTAACAATGCAGGAACACGTGAAGTGAAACTTGCCCCGATGCCTTCTGGGAGGTTTTCCCCTCGGGCCCACCTTGAGATGCTTCAATGTAAACTGATACAAATTACTCATTTTAGATTCACTTAGACCAGAATAAATGCATTGTAAATGATCAGTGTTTGTTTATTGGGCGTGCTCAGAACATGATTCGCTGCTATTATTATGAACATACAGTCTCTACAGAAGAGGCTTAATATTTGACATTAAGATTGATAATCCTGAGCAGAGAGGAAAAAAACACACAAGACCTGGGATTATGATCCAAAGATAAAGTGTGGGGATTAGAAGGCAAATATTAGATTGATAATCTTTGAGGATTAGCACAGAAAATTATTTTTGTCTCAGTGTAATCAGATGTAGCTGCAGACACCATGGGGCCTTTTAACCTGAGCACAAATAAATAAACTGAGACTGACATTTCCCTCTATTTCCCTCTCATCTTCCACTGTATCTATTGTATTGTATCGTCTGTGAGTGTGCGTCTAGCAGCTCTCAGCCCCGCCCAATGCTGAACGGTCTGCGCCGTCTGAATTTACATGCTGCCTGATGGAAACACTGTGAAGATAGTTGCCCAAATCCTCACGCAGACAGATTACCAAATAAACAAGGCTGAATTATAATGCTCATAATCTCAGGCACACATCAGGTTGTAGACGCTCTGGCACAGATTTGTTTGGTTTGAGAGTTAATGACTTTGGATTTAGGACACTAATTTGGAATCGGACTCTCATTCCGCAGCATGTTAAAAACAGCTCGGTGATGAACAGGAGAAATAGCACGGCCTCGGGCCACATCAAGAGACTGTGTTGGGAAAATGTGGGTCTTGTGCTAGAAAGCTACGCTCAGAATGGTGAATATAGCCTTCTAGGAATTTAAATATATAAAAAAGCATTTTTTTAGACAAGTAACAAGCAGACCTTGACCTCCCTTCTACGTGTTCAGTGTCTATCCCAGTCAATATCACTTCAGAATGAAAGGCTATGATGAAAATTAATTTGAAGGGATTATTTGCACCCAAGGTTGGATAAAATAGACTTTAGATGTATTATGTGAAGAAGCAGTCATGTGTGAAGTTCCATGCCTGACCTCAAGTTCAATTTGTTATTGATGTACTGTGCTGCCGATTCAGCTGCTAGCGTGGAATAACTAAGAATTTCAGCATACCGAACAACTTTATATGGTGTCTTTACTTGTTCTCTTACTCAAGTTGCCATATGCTGAGCCAGTTTCATGGCCCCTAGGCCTGTGAAAGCCACTCGGATCTTGCTTAAGAAATCCATGGTGCTGACCGGACAATATTGCAGTCTTTCTGCTCTACTCGAAATCTTTACATTCACATTCATATTATAGTCCCTCTTTGTTTTCAGTTTTTAGCTAGATGGTCAGCAATGTCTGTTTGAACTGTCTATCACAAGAGCACACTCAGTCTGTCTGGCTGTCTCCCTTTTTTCAAAGCTTTAAAACATGTTTCATGCCAAACTGTGCTGGAGTTTAATTCACACCTCCACTCCGATGGGAGCTTTTTTACTCCCCCCACTTTTTTATATTTTGTTCGAACACCTGCAGTGGGCGTGAAGGAGCACTCAATTTGCCAGCGCTTCTGTTTATCAGTCAATGTACAGCCGTCAACAGACTGAAAGCGAAAACTTTCCCACATGCAGCAATGCTGTTGCTTTGAGCATAAGGCCTTGAGAGTGTAAAAGCATAAATTATAGGCTAATGGTTGACAGAGCGGCAAAGAAAGATAGCGGCTGATAGCGAGTCAGCAGCTCGGGGCTCTCGCTCACTCTGTTTTTCACTGCATCTGATAAACAATAACAAGGATACGCGAGTAATTACAGCATTCCACTAAAATGTTTTTTTTCTTTTTTTCAGAAATCAATATGAGAGGATAAAAAGATACATATTCACATTTGACTTTAGAAGACTTTCAATAGATTCTTCTAAGATGATAAAGTCTTTCAATAAATCACCGGTTTCTTTAGTGTGTGTGTCAGACTGCAGTAAGTTAACCCTCTACATGGATGAACGAGGTTCACCAACTGTATGTCAGACCACATGGCTCTGTGTCGGACTGTCTGTAACACACAGGGATGTCCATGCTTCAGTTCATCTCAGCCTCTACACGTCAGATTTCAACACAGGAGACTGCCTTTGACAAACGTTTTCTGATGACTCAGTCATTGATGGAGAAGAGGGTGAATACAGGAGGCTGGCAGAGGAGACTTTGTTCAGCAGTGCCTTTAACTCAACACAACCAAGGAGCTGCTGGTGGTGGATATGTTTCACTCGCTTTTTATTGGTGAACTGCCGAAATAAGCGGAGTAGGACTAAACACACCCATGGTTTATCTAATTTTCACTCTATGATGTAAATCCCTGCACTTGAAAAGATATATATAAATAGAGGCTCTGTGCAATCTAGAGAGCATCCTAGAACAGAGAGAGAGAAAGCTGATGGCCAAGCTCCTGGTAATCACAGACAACCCCTCCCACCCCCTCCATCCATGAAGCCCCAATGCTCTGGGCAGCTCCTTCAGTTGACTAACTGCTCCACCTGTGCAGATCTATTGTCCCTGCTGTCAGACTGCTCAATCGCACTGTATTCTCTTGCACTACTGTCTTTCTATCAGACACACACTTTACACACTGTGGTTTTGCAGTAATACAACAGTATCTTAAACTGCTTTAACACTGCTATCTGCAGTCTCAAGACATTTTACCCAACACCAAATGTAATTTACTCCAGTGCAAGTTATGCATTTAACTTTTTATTGCAACTTCACCGTCTCCCCACTACATCTGTGACTTTATTTGTCTCATTACGCTTTATAGTTAAGATCAACGTAATCTGTTCTGCTGATGTTGCGCTTGTATTTTTCTGTTCCCTGTCACAGTTTCATTTGGGGACAGGACTGATTCAAATAAAGACATGAAACGTCTACAGAGTGCAAGCAGACACCAACCTGATGCAGAATGCAGCTTAATCCACACTGTTCTCTTCCAGGACAGTCTGTATGAGGCTGGCTCGGGAAATCCAGCTCTTCATATAGTAAACGTAGGAGGGATTAACTCTAGTGATTCACAATTCAGGTCAATCTTCCCCGGCAACAACAGAGGAAGAGATTTTGCTAGTATTGATGGGAGCTAAACCCTGAAAGCTTCAGCTTCAAG